TACTGCCTGGATGATCTCGAGAAGGGTTTGAGGGTTTAGGGGTTTATAGGGGTTAGGGTTTAGGGGTTTAGGGGTTAGGGTTTTGGGGTTTGTGATTTCAGGCTTGGGGCAAGGGAAAAGAGGAAACCCGAAGCGACGGTTGGGGCATCAGCATTCAGGGTTTAAGGTGCAGGGCCCAGGGTTTACGAGTTGGTGTTCAGGTGTTTTCAGGAAATAAGAGGTGCTCTTCCATTGCTAGAAGCATGATACCACCATTTCGGGTGTTTGTTTGAGGTTTAATCGAAGCACACACATCGTCGATCATAGGATACTTATCATACAGACTCCTATACCAGGAGACTTCGCTTACGAAGGTCCCTTGTCAAACCTTGTTGAAATCCAATAACAAGCCTACAGGGAAACCCTTCTCTTCAAAGCCTCAATCAACCCTGAACCCTGGACCTTAAACCGTGAACCCTAAACCCAGAACCCTGAACCCTAAACCCTAAACACTCTTTACCATATATATATATATACACACTCAGTCGTTGAATATGATGCTTTTTGTTCGGGTGCTTCTTCGTCGAACTCAACGAAGAGAAAGTCATATTCAACGAAGGCCGGCACACCCAAAACTTTTGCAAAAAGCTTACGTCCTTAAGTGTGCCCAAAATCGCAGAAGATTTAAAGCAGGCACACAAAAAGAACGGCGCTGTTTTGCAGCAGAATGTGGCACCGCCTCCTTTGGGCACGCACGAGCAGTCGAGCATCCATTTTTTGATCCGGGCTCCAAGGTTGACAGGGTTCAAGAACTATCGGTAGCTTTAGAGCAAGTCCACAGGCCCAAGGCTGACAGGGTTTAGGGACTACCGGAGGCTGAAGAGCAGGCACACGCAAAGAAAGAGGAGGACCTCGACATGGGCACCCGGCCTAATTTAAAACGACTTTTTTATGAGCAGAATTTGGCAAGCAGAAATCAGGTCAAATTTTCAGAATCGCAGGAGGGCAGGGGCAAGGCCACAGAGGGTGTAGAGCAGGCACACACAAAGAACGGCGCTGTTTTGCTGCAGAATGTCGCCCCGACCCCTTCACGCACAGACGAGCACTCGGGGGTCCATTTTTTTGAGCCGGGCTCCAAGGCTGACAGTGTTTAGTGTAGGGCCTACGGGCACACAAGGAAAGGGGAGGACCTCGACATGGGCACCCGGCCTAATTAACATGCATTTTTATAAGCAGAATCGAGTAAGCAAAAATCAAGTCAGAACGGCATTGTTTTGCTGCAGAATGCGACCCCGACCCCTTGGGCACAGAGAAACCCCGGCTGTTTTAGAGCAGGCACACACAAGGAACAGCGCCGTTTTGCTGCAGAATGTGGCCCCGACCCCTTTGGGCACGCACGAGCACTCGAGGGTCGTTTTTCCGAGCCGGGCTCAAACATCTTGGGTTTAGGGCCGGCAATAAGTATTGTAATATGATCGACAGTACTGTCAATGCGCTTACCTGTAAATGGCTGCAATTATGTACGATATATAGTCACCTTTTACTTCTAGGCAAGGCTAGAGTGTCATTAGTTGACATTCATGACAAGGTGTGTTACGCTCTTGAACGTGTGAAGCGTGAAGGCTTAAGCTAAGATTCAGGCTTAGGCTTTTGAGTTTAGGGCTTTCTGGGCTTAGGGCTTAGGGGTTTTCGGCTTCGGGGGCCTGAGGTTTCTAAGGTTTAGGCTGCGTGTTAAGTGTTGCCTGCCAAACAAATACCCCAAAAGCCTACGATCCATGCTAGAAATGATATTCTGACACAGCTGAATGCAGCCACAGCAACAGCAGGCATGGTGGCGTAACGATTAGGCTATGGGGTTGGTATTTAGAGGCCCGGTGAAGCCACCTTCCGTTGAGATCAGGATGGCCATCAAAGCAATGGAGGATCTTTACTGCAGCTTAGCCTCAAACTGTTGTTACACACTAAGAAACTGTGGATGTGTGGAAGTAGTATAGTCAGCCATGTCTTGCAGCCCCATACATGCAACAGCCCTGAAATAGCAGGCAGTGGAGTTCACGGGTGTAGCCCCTAAACCCCCAAACCATAAACCCCTTAACCCTAGACCCTAAACCCTAAACTCGCCATGCAGCTGAGCTGCAACGATGCGGAATAGGTGCGATCTCCGCGGCGACATGCTAAAACCTCTGCCATGGGCTTTTCCAGAGGGTCCAATATTGTAGGTACTTAGTAGATATTTCGGCCCGAAAAGTATACCCTATACCGATACCATTACGTGGACCCTTTTGGGTTCGTTTCTGGTGGATCATTGAGCCATGTTTCGAAGCTTTTATCTCACCAAACATCTCTGGAACTCCACGTTTGGTTGGGTTCAAGGACTTCCCCCGGATTCCGATGCGATTAACCACCAAAGCTTAGACAGCTTTCGAGCGCTGTGGGGCTGAAGGCAATCACTACGGCGGATCGTGCCATCCAGGCAGTGCTTTGAATCACATGGCCTAGTAGCTGTCGGAGTCTGTGAATCAGTGAACCACGCGACCCGACCCCCATAGAAACCCTTGCCCCTAAACCAAACACAAAGAGCTGCGGGGGGGGGAAACCCGGAAACCTGGTGTCCGTGACAGATTTTCTTCTTGACTCAGGTACCACGCGATGATCGAAATAGATTTCGGGGTTTAGGGCTTAAGGTTCAGGGTTGAGCTTCAGGCTTGAAGCAAGCGCTTGAGGCGTAGGGTTCTGAGCCTCGAGTTGACTGCCTAGGCTCTGGCACAGAGGGGATTCGTGCATCCTTCAGTACCACAGTATTCATATCGTACGTTACATTGCTGCACTGTCCTAGTCTACAGTATGTTGTTAGCATTATCATTCTTATTACTACAATTGTACTTCCAGATTGTTTTTGGGTGTTGTGCCTGTATCGTGCGAGGACAGGCTTTCTTCCAGGCTTTGTTGTTGGGTTTAGAGTTCAGGGTTCTCTCCCGTTCCTAACAGCTTTGTCTACACCGACATGCCAGAAAATGAGAGAGCGTCATACAGGCCCTAAGTACCCGGATTTGCCTTGCAGGGACTCCAAAACAGGAACCCGACAAATATGCCTTCGAGGAACCCTATAGCCCTAAGGGTCCAATAGGGACTGCTTTAAGGCCAAAGTATATACTATTTGGGTAAATTGGCCCTTGGGGTAGGGTCGAAAAACAAAAGCCCAGCCGAGCCGTGCACAGCTTCAGACACGCAGGAGGCACTCGTTTTTGTCAGTCTCCCCTTGTCCCCGCTCTCAGACCAGCGCCGGTCTGCCCCAACAAAACAAAGACCTACTATAGGGCCTTAATAATTAGAATGGGGTTTTGGGGCCCATTATACTATAATTATGATAAGGAACCCCCCCAAAATAGTATAGGTAATTCTTCAGGCTTCTATATTACACCAGGTGCACCTCATCCTCGGCAAGGAAGAGTTTGTTCAACTCCTCCAGTCTTGAGAGCTGCTGGCTGAAGGCAGCTGGGGTACAGTCGTGCTCACTGGCCATCAGCTTGAAGAGCCGCTCCTGGGGTGTCTTAGTAGTTTAGGGTTTAGGGTTCAGGGTTTAGGGGTTTAGGGATTCTAGAGGGACTCTAAGGATCTCAGCTTGTAGAGCCTCTCCTGGGGTGTCTTAGTAGTTTAGGGTTTAGGGTTCAGGGTTTAGGGTTGAGGATTTAGGGATTCAAGAAGGACCCTAGGGATCTCTCCTGGGGTGGTCTTAGCCCTAAGGGTCCATGTACCCAAAAAGCATATACTTTGGCCCCAAAGTACCTATATAGGGACTACTTTAAGGCCAAAGTATATACTATTTGGGCACATGGACCCTTAGGGTAGGGATTCTCGAAGGACTCTTGGGATCTCTCCCACCCCGGTAAGCACCAGTAAGTAACCCTGACCCTCAGCCCTGAACCCTAAACCCTCAACCCTAAACACTAAACCATTAAACCCCCAAAACCCTTAACCCTAAAACCCTAAACCCTCAACCCTGAACCCTAAACCCTCAACCCTAAACACTAAACCCTGAACCCAAAACAACCCTAAGTAACAACCCATAGGGCCCCAAGTAGTTCCTTGTTGTGGTTTATATTTAGAATCCTATAAGGTAATCCCAGAAAAGGAAGTACTTAGGGGTGTATGGGACCCTACACAAACCCTAAACCAACCCTGACCCTCAGCCCTGAACCCTAAACCCTAAACCCCTAAACCCAGAACCCAGAACCCCTAAACCCAGAACCCTAAGTAACAAGAGCCCGGTCTCCTTGGGGATCGGCGACCCGAGGGCTGCGAAGCAGCGAGCCATGCTTCGGCAAAGAGTCGTGAGGGGAATCATCGGAACAGCTGGAGCTTCCTTTAGGGTGTAGGGTTTAGAGGTTTAGGGCTTAGGGGTTTAAGGTTTGGGGGTTTAGGGGTTGAGGGGTTGAGGGCTTAGGGTTTAGGGCCAGGGCTTTGGGTTTAGCAGCTTAGGTTTGAGGGTTTTTGGGCTTTAGGGTCTAGGGTTGGAGCCGTAATCATGGGAAGAGTCGGAGCTTCCTGTCTTCGTCGGGGTTTGGGTTTAGGAGTTTAGGCTTTGCGTGACCGTGGGGTTTAGGGTTCAGGCTTTAGGGTTGAGGGTTTACGTAACCTGCGTCACAAAAGCTTAAACTTGCTAAGATAGACCAAATTATGAGGGACGGTCCAGGGTTCATGGGGTTCAGCCGGGCCCACAAAAGCGCAAACCTGCTAAGATAGACCAAATATGGGAGGCCAGCAAGTTTAAAGTTCTCCC